TGATGCTGATGCTGCTGACGATGGTGCTGATGCTGATGATGATGATGATGATGACGACGGCGCCGGTAACGATGACGATGATGATTTCGACGACGATGGTGATGATGATGATGATGATGACGATGGTGATGATGATGATGATGATCTGATGACGATGACGACGGCGATTATGACGACGATGATATTGATGATGATGCTGGTGGTGATGATGATGGTGGTGGCCTTGATGATGACGATGATGATGATGATGCCGCTGCTGCTTCGGATGATGACGATGGTGATGATGGTGATGGTGATGATGGCGCTGGTTATGATGTTCATTCTCATGATAATGGCGATTCCGATGACGATGACGACGACGACAACGATTATGATGATGCTGATGCTGATGTCGATGACGATGAGGATGGTGGCGGTTGTGATGATGAAGATGATGGTGGCGGTGGTGGTGATCATGACGATGATGATGCTGCGGATGATGATGCGGATGATCATGCTGATGCTGCTGATGATGGTGATGATAATGTTGGTGCAGTTGATAATGATGATGATGATGGTGATGATGCTGATGCTAACGATGACGATGATGACGACAACGATTATGATGATGATGCCGATGACGATGATGATGGTGGTGGTGATGATGAAGATGATGGTGATGATGATGATGATGATGATGATGGTTGTAGTGGTGGTGGTGGTGATCATGACGATGATGCTGCTGATGGTGATGAGAAGATGATGCTGATAAAGAGGATGATGATGCGGATGATGGTTATGATGATACCGATGATGATGATGATGATGATGATGATGATGATGATGATGATGATGATGATGATGATGGTGGTGGTGGTGGTGGTGGTGGTGATGATTATGCTGATGATGATGGTGATGATGATGGTGGTGATGATGACGATGATGATGATGCTGATGATGATAATGCTGATGATGATGATGATGATGGTGATGATGATGATGATGATGATGATGATGATGATGATGATGATGATGATGATGATGATGATGATGATGATGAGGCGGACGGAGGAGGAGGAGGAGGGGGTGGAGGAGGGGGAGGAACAGAGACAGTAGGAGGAGGAGGAGGGGGACGAGGACGGCAGCGTCCTTCATAAAATGGTACTCATGCCATGCGCGGATGTTCTTCATGCCATCAGCGGACATCGAGTACAAGAGGATGATATATTGGAGGAGGAGGAGGAGGAGGAGGCGGTGAGGAGGATTACGAGAAGGAGGAGGAGGAGGAAGATCGACGACGGGTTCAGTTTTGTAGCTCTCATTGTTGGTTGGGCCGTCACGGGCCTCCAGGGGGATCCACCGGAGGCGGGGGAGGAGGCGGGGGAGTAGGAGGAGCAGGAGGATGAAGAGTCCTGCTTGTCCTGCTGCTCATCTTGCCTGTGCCCTCTCCTCTCCCAGCCTGACGGCGCTCGTTTCACTGCCCACTCTTTCCAGACGGCGCTCACTTCTCCTGCCCCTCCTGTCCCTCCTGCCTCTTTTGCAGCTGCTCCTTCTCATCCCCTTCTCTGGATGCCTTTGGAGGTTTCCATGGGCCTCCAGAGGACTGGGGAGGACTCCAGAGCTCTGTCCAGCCCCCCCGAGGGTCAAAAAGGGACAAACACGCTCAGTCACCTCGATCCTCCTCCTCGTCATCTTCCTTTTCCTCCTCCTCCTCCTCATCCTCCTCCTGCTCCTTCTGTTCCTCCCGCTCCTCCTCCCTTCTCCACCTCCTACTCCTTCTACTCCTTCTACTCCTTCTCCTTCTTCTTCTCCTCTTCCTCCCCATCCCTCTTCTCCTCCTCGTTCTCGCGCGTCTCCCGTTGAGCAAGTGGTGGATCCAGCGTGGTTGGATGGGCCGCGTCATTTGGAAGAGAGCGTCTCCTGAGTGCGCTGGGAGAAGAAGTCGGGGGGGGGCTTGGGGAGGGGGAGGGGAGAGGGATGCGCCTCGAGCCTCGCCCCTCCCTTGGGGAGGGGGGAGGAAGTCCTGGGGATGAGGAGGGGGGGGAGGAGCCTCCCCTCGGAAATCCTGGAGGGGTGAGGCCTGCGCGGCAGCGTTCGGGCGGGCCAACGACGGCGCGCGTAGGGCACGCGAGGCAGAACAGTAGCGAGCAAGTCGCCATTCCGCATGCGGTCACCTTTGGCAACCGCCACACGGTGGATCGCTCCGCGTCGCGATCAACCGCCCGGCCTGCACGCGTGCTGCGAGTCACTGCGCGTTGCCGGTGTCATGGGGCGTGGCCCGTGCGTGATGGCCCACCTCTTCATGTAACATGTTTGTACGTGGGTATGTACTGTCCCGCTCCCCGTCGCCTCATCATCTCCCTCCTCCTCCTCCTCCTCCTCCTCCTCCTCCTCCTCCTATACCACGTGGCCAAGGAGATGGCATCTCATCAAGACGGGCGCCCTTTAACTCTGTCCCAGCAGCTAGATGCCCTCAAAGCGGCATTAGCCAAGCTGCCCATCAATTACTCGATTCTTCCGCCTCCGCCTGGTTCGGCTAGGCCTCACCCCTGGCTGAAACCCACGAGGCGTTGAGACTCTTGAGGTACTGTCGCTCCTCCTCCTCCTCCTCCTCCTCCTCCTCCTCCTCCTCCTCCTCCTCCGTAACTTAATACACTTCCTCTCGTTGTTCTTACTACTGTCAGGAGCTTGGGCTCAGAGTGTCGCGTCGCCGGTTCTGCCCCACCGCGTTTCGGTGCGACACGTTGTCCACGACCCAGTCCCCAAGAGTCAACGTCTCGAGCCTTCCTCTGCCTCTCGCAGCGCGGAGCAGAACGATACGTTATCCGCTTGCAAGGCATAGCGTGTCGCCAGGGTCGCAGCCGCGGCTCACACATGTGTATGTAGCACTGCTGCTATACTTGCAGCCTCGCGTGAGGGCGGACCTCTGAAGCTTGAGCTGAGGGTGGCAGGGTGGCAGTCTCTTGGAGGCAGAAGTGAGGACTCTCTTTCCGCCCCGCTGGTGGCCCACCATGCAGCATGTGCGCATACTTGACCAATATCCCACCAGTCATAGTCAAACGTGGATCGGCATACGCTCGGGGCGCTCCGAAGAGGGTCTTGCCTGCGAGGATAGGAAAGGCTGTCATCTCATCTTCGGCGGACGGGCGGCGGGAGGTCGGCGGAGGTAAAACGAGGCCGCCTCCGCCGGCGGAAGCCGGCGGAAGCTGGCGGAAGCCTCGGCGGCTCAAGGACGCTTCTCGCACAGGCGAGCGTGGGGTCGCAATTCCCCACCAGGCGGAACCCTAGTGTTCTCCTCTTCCTGCCATGGCGCTGCTGTGCTGGGCGTGAGGATCTCGGAGGAGGAGAGTACTGCCGACGCCTGCGAGGTGAGCGCTGCCCAGCTGCCCGACCGAGCTGGACCGCCAACTCGGCTCTGACTACAAAACCGACGGCGGGAGCTAGGGCAATGGGTGGCAAAAGGGCCTGGAGACGAGCTGTACGACTTGCCATAGTGGCAGGCAGCTGCTGGTATCATGGTCAGCTGCTTACTCGTCCTGTGGCCGCCCACGCAGTTCGACACGAAAGGCAGATTCATCAACGAGAACCTGAGCTCGCACCACCATCTCAGTTGCCCAAACGAACACAAGTTTCGCGCAACAATCATCTGATGAAAGTCTGGAGTTATAATACGGAGTCGTTGATTCGCATTGATCGAGTTGGCGAACTGCTACGTCTCGCCAAGGATTCAGAAAATTGGCATTGTATGTTTCCAGAGTGCATTGATGAGTGGCACCACATCGTGGAATTGTGCAGGGTACAGGATCAATCCGACACCGAGGACTTCTATTCGAGCTAAGGATGGATGTCTTACAGCCGTCAATTTGTCCAACTTCAACCCGCTAGAGGTCAGATGCGTCCACGAGTGGCTACCAGGACGTATCCTGGGACCCCGTGTCCGACGCGAGGGACGCCATGAACGCGACCTCTACACATTGAACGGCTATGCTCCGACCGACTCTCCACCGTACCAACCCGCGGGAGCCGACAGAGATAACCAGCTGCAGGTTCACCGACTTGCGCAGGACAACTTTTGGCACACTAGTGAGTCCGCACTTCGACGAGTTCCACAGCGTACGACGTTGATATGGTGCCTTGACGCAAATGGAACGATGGCCCCAGATCCCCCCCACGTTGGCTTCGCTGGCGCTAACCGCATCCCAAGAGTTACTAACCATAATGGCGGGGAGCTACCCAATCTTCTTCAATCCCAACACTTGACGGCATTGAACATTCACGGCAGCAAGAGTTATCATATTGGAACATGGCTTCATACTGACGGAATCACGTGGAATCATATTGACTGTATTTGTACGCGGCTGCGGGGGGGATCTGGGCATGGGGCCAACGTATTATCTTCACTCCCCGTTAGTCTTGGCGGCTACCGCGACCATCGACCTCTTGAGGCTCGGAATTCAACCAAGTTTAGGTGCCGCAAGATTCCGTCTCCCCTGTTACCAAGATGGAATCGGGATTTACTCCTTCATGACCTGAGAACTACATTGCACGAGGATACAGTACCTGCACGAGTCCAAGACTTTCGTGACAGGCTGCGAAGTCCGTTGCGGAATCGCCAAATTGGAGGCGACTGGCGTCAAGAATGTGGCCCAGGTCTTTAATTCCCACACCCATCCGCATACTGCAACGCTCTCGAAGGTGCGGTGGTGGATGTTGCGCATGCTGTTTATGTTGGCAACCCTGCGGCAATTAAGAAGCAGGAGTTGGCCGAGGATACTCTCCAGCTGATAGAACGCAAGCAGTATTATCAACGAGTGCTCTCCAGAGTGGTGAACCAACCATCGTGGTTGTGCAAATCTATTTTCTCTGAGTTTCGCCGTGCGGCGAAGATTGCGAAGAGAGCTGTCCGTTCTGAGAAGCGACTACGTGTGGCGGCCCTTGTCGCCGATGCAGAGAGAGCGGACGCAGTTAATGACATTCGACGGTGATGCCCCATCATCAAAAGGCTCGCGCCGAAGACTAGGATGCCGAATCTGACGGTCCGCAACCCCGCAACAGGTGACCCGTGTTTTGGTGGCGAAGAGGACCAGCAGGTTCGCACGGATGCGCTGCGCTCCATTCCCGAGGCCACTGAGTTGCCCATGGACGACGACGGCGGACCCCAGGAGATCATTGATGCCCCCGATGAGGACCTCATGGGCCAGTACGACGTCCACGATGTGACCCAGGCTTTGGTGAGGCTCCCCAACTTCAAGAGCGCCCCAGTCCTCGAGTGGACAGACCCCGCCACCTCTCAGGCCCCGCGACAGGGCCCCGAAGACTCCGTCGCCGAACTTTGGAACCTCAGTACGGAGATTCTTGGAGATCCCCTGCTTGGAGTTTTCCAGGCTGCACCGGCTCATCGAAGAGCGCCCCAAAGGTTCACAGACGGTGAAGCAGTCTCTCTGAGGAAGCTTAAAGGTGACGGGTTGAATGCTAACGACCGTCGCAGAACCATCAACCTCATTGGCCATGCGGGCAAAGCTTTCACAAACGTGACCATTATGCCAGAGCTGCGCCAGATGTCCTGCAAGTTGTCCAGCGCGCAGTTTGGCGCGCTGCAGGGCCGTTCCACTCGCGATGCCATCCCTTTAGTCGACGAGGTCGGCAGACGCTATTCCTTGGCGCGCCCAGAACCCAGCAGTCATCCTCGTCTCGGCTTTGATTGACTTGGAGACAGCGTTTGATATGCCCGATCGGCAGCAGGTATGGGCCTCCCTCGAGAAGCCCGCCCTGTCTCGACAAACTCGCTTGACTGTTCAGGAGTTATATAACGGGTCCTGTTATATTCTTAGGGATGCTCGTACTAACCGTCCACGTCGTCGACTTCTTTTGCGGAAGGGGGCTCGGCAAGGTAGCGTGGATGGCCCAGGACTATTCATCGCGATCTATGACATGATTACCAATGATACCGGGGGCCACACGTTAGCCGCGGGGTTCAAGGGCGCCCAGGTTCAGTACGGCCCCTCCTTCCAGGTTTTCGGGAATTCGGAGGACTTTGCGGCCGTTGAGTTAGGCGTTCTAGACACGTCCCATGCCAAATTCGTAGATAATAGCGCTGACTATCGTTGACGACTTCGACGCTGTCACCTCGTTCTTGGACTTCATGAGGACTCGGGTTAACGCCAGTGGTCTGACCATGAACGTCCCAAAAACCGAGTTGATGTTGAGTGTTGCGGGGAGGGGCTGCAGGGAACTCCGACAACGGACTGCGAAGAATCATATTGGCATTAACATGACCCACGTAGACACGCAGGTCTGCGCCTTGCACCCGACGCCGACAGTTAAGTACCTCGGCTGCCTACTCTCTGCCACTGGCTCCTACTCCCCAGAGATCGAGACTCGCCTCTCCCCTGCGAATAAGGCGCACGGTCGTCTTGCCCAACCTGTTCTAAAGGGCAACCTCCGTATTCGCTTGAAGGTGCGACTGTGGTGCTCGCTGGTCCGTTCGATCGCGCTGTGCGCGCTGGAGGTAGCCTTCCTGGCCCGAGCAGATCTGAAGATGTTGGAACGATGGCAGACCCGCAAACTTAGGCATATTTTGCGGTCCCCCGCTCACGCGTATCGCGCCTCCAACTCGGATATTCGTACGCGAGCCAACATCTTCAGTGTCAGCTCTACTCTGAAACATCGTAGGCTTCAGTGGTGGCGGCATGTCATATCACCAGGACTTCTACCCGAAACCCCAGAATATTACCCCACGTTAGCTATACGTTATGTTGCATTCGGGGAGCTTTCTTTCGATGGTTCCAGGCGTCGCAACCGCTCTTGCCGAATTGGGCAACTACTGTTGGATATTCGGGCGCTTTGGGCTCGCATCCCAGCAGCAGGCAAGGGGCGAGCACCGCCCGATTCGCCATGCGTTTCTTGTGACTGGCTGGAGTGGCTAAACATGCTCTCTGTTGCCGAGCTTAGAGTTGTCCTCTCGCACGAAGCTGAGAGCGACATGTCGCCGGAGGCAGGGGAAACCGATGCCTCTCGACTTCTTGTGTGTCCAGAGTGCGGGAAAGGATGCAATGGTCAGAAAGGGTTGGGGAACCGCAGGTTTGCGGTCCACTCAATTATTCGCCAACCGTGTGAATATCTTTCTGTTTGACCTCAGTGCCCGCAGGTGCCCATATTGCTCCCAAGTATTTACTCGCAAGGACACCTTGATCAGGCATGTTCAATCGAAACGTTGCCCACATCTCTCGGATCCGCAGCTTGTTCGGGCTCGGTCGCTACCGTCGCTTCCTATTTCAGATCGACTTTCAACGACAGCAGCAAAGCCCAGCATCTCAGGGGGCGATGTTCACTCCCGCGGCCGAGCTGGTCAAGAAACGAGACGCGGGCGAGGCAGGAGTCGAGAGCACCAAACCGAACGCCGACGCCGAAGTTGCAGGCATCTCGAAGAAGGACCGCTTGATGACCAAGCTCCTGCTCCAGCACGAGGACAACTTTCGGGGCTCGGCGAGAGACCAGAACGTAGTGGTTCGGCTCCGAGTCGGATCACATATGCAGGTGGCGCTGGAGTCGAGCACGGCACAGTACCAGAAAGTAGGGAAGGAGGCCAGGGACACGGTCGCGGCCGCCGACTATCGCGGCCACCCTCTCGGCAAGAAGCCCGACGCGTACCTCCGCATGCCGTTGTTCAGATTGAGCGAAGCGGCGGAGGACAGCCTCGAAGAGGTCAAGGCTGCGGTCGCCCGTGGCGCCAACCCACAAGAATCAGCCGTGGCGCTGATGACGCTCGTGGAGTTCGGGAAGAGCCTCAAGGATTCCGAAGTGAAGCTCAAGGCGACGAGGTGCTTCGACGTGAGAGTGACAACGACAACCGACGGAAAAGATGTAGAGGAGGCCAAGTGGATATTCGCTGCTATGTCGCACCCAGCGGTGATGGCAGCGTTGTATGTTTTCAAAGCCAATGGGGGGGCTGACGTCAGTGAGTTTGATTTTGGAGGACGACGAGGCTCCACGGTCCAAGACTGCCAAGGAGTTCGAGAGGATGATATTCAAGGGAGGAGGAGACGGAACCCACGGAAAGCAGAAGCGCCCGAAGAAGAAGAAGTGAGACCCCGTGCAGGCCCCAGCAGACCTCAGTTTACAGTTGACATTCGAAACTATTTCCAGGTTCGTGGGCAGGGCTCCGAGGGGAGCTAACTCAGTCGTTTTCTTTGATGAGGGCCCGCCTTTACACCAGAGGGTGTTTAGGCGGCCGTTCTCGTAGTGCCATCCCCTCAGAGGAGGGGGTGCTCGAGTGCGGGGCCATGGGCCCCGAGTGCGTGCTCACTCCTCTGGCCCTCTACCTCGTTGTGCTTTGCATGTTTGAGGTTGCGCCGTGCATGCGGTTGGTTTTGAGACGGGCCCGACGCTAGACATCCAATTGGTTTTTCTAGGGTGTTGCGTTGGTAAAAAAAAGGAAGCTGGCGGAAGCTCGGCGGAAGCAAGAAATTGTCCCCCAAGAGATGAAAACGTTTTCGTGTTCAGGGTTTCCAGAATCGCCCATTTGGGGGGTCCTGCTAAAAAAGATATAAGAATAACAACAAAGAGTGAGGGGGGCCCTGCTCCGCCCGCCAGCAGCAGCTGCTCGACACCGTGTACTCCATCGTCTTCTCCCTGGTGGAGGTGACCCGCAGCTACGACCACCAGGCCCGCGCCCACGCCGGAGCCTGGACCCTGGGCAGCACCAACATCCGGGCCTCCTCGGGTCGCGAACGACAAGTGAAGAGGGATTGATTCCCGATCTCTTCGGCCTCTGGTGGGAGCCTGTTTTATAAGATTCCGGCAAACCTACTTGGATGGACGGGGGGGGGGTGAATCGGGCCGGACGAGAGGGGGGGATTGGGAAAGGGGGGGGTTACGGAATCTGCTGCATGCAGCTGGTTTCGGCCCCGCCGAGGGGCCCATTCCTCGATACATAGCCGCCTCCGGCGTCGGGAGGCGCCGGGAAAATCAGCTCCGTGAGCTGATTCTCACCCCCCCCCTTTTGCTATCCCCCCCCTTTCGCCCGACCCGATTGAAGCTGAAGCAGACCGCAGACGACTTGCACGTGCGGAAACCACGCAAGTCGAAAGGCACTTGCACGCCAGTATTCGTCTGAAGAGGGGCGAGGGGGGAGGGGGAACGCCATGCAAGTAAACTTGCCCGAATCAACACAAACAGGCTCCAGGAGGGATGGATTTTCTGACCTCTTCGGGCTCGGGGTGGGGGCGGTGGCTCTCGCCGGGCCCTGGAGCTGTGAAGAGAGGTGGCTCCCCGGAGGCCAGGCCGGTCCGGGGAGGAGCGGCCGAGACCTCTCCGGGGGCCTTGGCCCGGGGGGGCGGCACCTCGAAGGGGCCGCCAGCGCCCGACGCCGAGGCGAGGAGCCGAGGGGCTGCGTCCTGGGTTCGAGAGTGGTGAGCCTCTGCTTTGAGATTCGGGCAAGTTTTCCCTCGCCCCTCTGCAGACGAATACTGGCGTGCAAGTGCCCCTCGACTTGCGCGGTTTCCGCACGTGCAAGTCGTCTGCGGCTTTCAGGCGATCGCAAACATGGATTAAGGGGGAGTGGATTAGCGACGGGTCCCGTTTCCATGTGACATCGCGGATTTCCGCCGTCCGACCACAAGCGTCGTCAATACCCTGTGATTGATTGTGTTGACAGCGTCTTGAGAACTCGAATTGTTGAGCCTGGTTGGATGATGGTCAAGAGGAGCACCTTGTGGTGGCTGTCTGCCCCGCGAAAGGGACGCCAGTTCTAGCTGCTTTGCTTGTGGGATTTCGTTTATATGTGCTTGGCTTACCTGCATCCTGTGGCTGATTCTGTTGCCTTGTCGCTGTGCTGCATGCTCTCGCTCTGGCAGAAGACTCCTGGTTGAGAAGGTACCGCTGTGATTAGGGCACGGCAGTCGGACATCTTATCTAAAGAGGAGCAAAGAGCACAGCAGGCCACAATAGAAAAGAAATAAATGGATTGGGGGGAACGAGAGACACATCACGAGCATCAAGACACACACGTCATGAGCCTCACAAGAACGCAACGAGCGACCAGCAGCACGGCTCGACCCCCGCTGGCGGGCCGGTTGCTCGCTCTCAGAGCAGCCGCTCACGCCGCAGGGACCTTCGGGCATCGGGCAGGGGAGAGGTCAGAGGAGAGCCATATCGATACGGATACCCGTCACTCGTCGCCACGGCTGGATTCGTCTCGAAGTGAGCGCAGACATGTTCCCTCATACCGCATCAGTAGGTGCAGGGCGATGATAACGCGTTCGACGACGATGATGACGATGTTGCAGATGATGGTGTTGATGATGGTGTTGTTCTTGGTGTGGATGGTGAAAGGAGAAGAGGTGGTGGAAGGGGGGAGGAGGAGGAGGAGGAGGAGGAGGAGGAGGAGGAGGAGGAGGAGGAGGACGACCAGGGTAAACCCAAGATGTACCAACGATGCTGCAATACCCCTGCCCACCCCAGATCCACTCGCCCAAAGTCCCCACAAGCGAGGAAGACCTCGCCTTCGCGACGGGAACCGCACCCGTGAAGGACTGGCACCCTATGGGCCCGCAGCTCAGGCGGTAGCTCCGCTTGGCAGGAAATCGCCCTCCCTCCTTCGAGCTGCAGGGACTCCGACAACGTCGGGCCTTGCCATATGGAGCGACGTGCACAGCGACAGTCCCGCTTGGGAAAGAGACCGCCGTGCATCCGTGCAGCTTCGGGGGCGGTCAATGGCGGGGGTGATGACTGGGACGGGGGGGGTGGGTATCATGGCGGGGGGCATGATGTTTCCCCGGATTTCATGGCGCCTCTTCTTATTTCAGTACGTCCCTGGCCCCCCCCCTGGGCCGCGCGCATGCCGCCGGCCATGAATTGCGCCCCCCCCCCTCTTGGACGCCCCCCTCTTGGCCGCCCCCGATAGCTGTGGCACCGGTCCACGTCTGGTCATCAACTCGAGGGCAGTTTGATGCGAGAGCCCGATGTTTCAGAGGCGTCGCCCTCCGTCCGTGTCGCCGCTGCACGATTTTACATGCAAAAGCACACCCTCAGTTTGACAACAACTCGCCTGCAAGAGTCCTGGGGCCCGGGAGGGGGCATCAATTGTTGTTCTTGTCCCCACAGAAGTGTCATGGCTCTCCTGCCCCCCCCCTCGGCTTCCTGCTGTTCACCTTTCGTCCTCCACCTCCCTCGCCTCCTCGCTCCCTTCCTCACTTCCCCCCTCGCTTCATTCCTCTCTCCCTCACTTCCCCCCTTCTGATGTAGTACGATTTGCTGCTCACTTGCCCCCTCGTTTCCTCACTCCCCCCCTCTGATGTAGTATGATGTGCTGCTCGCTTGCCCCCATCGCTCCCTCACTTGCCCCCTCGCTCACCTCCAGGCTCGCTCGCTTCCCTCCTCGATCCCTCGCTTCCCCCCTCGCTCCCTGACTTCCTCACTCGCCTCTGCCCTTCCGCCCCCCCCGCCTCTCCCGCGGCCGCCACCAGCCCTCGCTCGCTCCCGCCCCCGCCGCCCCTGCCCCTGGAGGTCGGGCATCTCCTCCACCGCAGGCTCAACTGCAACACGGAGCGCATGGAGTCCGCAGGCCTGCCGCCGCTCTCGTCGACTTCCTCCTCCTCCTCCTCCTCCTCCTCCTCATCATCCTCCTCCACCTCCACCTCCCCTCCTCCTCCTCCACCTCCTCTTCCTCGTTTTGGTCCCAGTCTTGAGCTTCCCTGCGACACAAGTGGACACTACTGTTCCGTGGCGTGCGCCCGTGTTCGCCAGGTCCGCCCCTGGCTGTCCCTCTGCCGGTGCGCCCCAGCAGCCGCCTCTCGCAGCGCTCCTTGTGGGCGGATGGTCAGTGTGGCAAGCATGGAGGATCCGAGCTGTGTCGACTGCGGCGTCTGGGCGTACAACTGGCGGATCAAGAAGCAGGAGGGCTCGTGCGTTGTGAGCGGTTCGACGATGCCCAGGTGGACGCCGACCAGTGGCTCGTGGTGGTCCCCGTGGGCCTCAGAAGGGGTCCGCAGCTCTCCCTCCCCTCAAGAGGTTCCTGGCTCTCTCCATGGACGCGCTGCTGCCGCAGGCCTTCCAGGACTACGGCCTTGCTCAGGATCCGAAGGCGGCCCGGCTCGCCACCCAGCTCAAGGCCCTCGCCGACGAGAAGAAGGCTGCAGCCCCACCGCCGAAGCCTGCTTATGTTGTGCCCAAGGAAGCCACGGTTGATTTGTGCTTGGAAGCAGGAGGCGCCGGACAAGGCTGCGAGGAGTGTGGAACAGGCCAAGCTGCAGCTCGAGCGTGCGGAGGCCAAGTTCGACGAGGCTCTCGACGCGATGGTCCCAGCCGAGATCCCTCGCATGGAGGCGCAGGAGGCGCCGGCTGGGCCTGAGACGCCTGCCGTGCCTGCGGCGGGGGCTTGCTGCGTCTTGGACCCTGAGATTTTCGACGGCCTGGGGGGTTCGAGGGGGAGGAGGACAAGACCAAGTTGGAGGAGTCCCAGAAGCAGCTGCAGGATGCCACTCGGCAGGCCGATGCCAAGCAACAGGAGTTCCAGATGTTGCTTGAGAAGGCTCGCGCTGTCCGCACAGCAGTGGCTTCCAAGCGGAGGCGCCACGATGAGGAGGGCAAGGCGACTGCTGGCGACGGCGCTTCAGCTGTGTCGGCCTCAGCGGCTGCTGCAACGGGTGCGGCTGCGGCGGCCGAACCCAGGACGGTCGGTAAGGCTGAGGCCCAGAAGGAGATGCGCGAGCGGATGCGCACTAACGCCAAGCTGCAGGCGGAGGGAGCCGAGCGGGCTGTTCCTTCGGCGAGCACTGTGGGTGCTTGCGGTGCTGATGCGGCTGCTCGCCCCCCCTCTGCCTGACGTACCTGGGTGGTGGCGTGATCTTCACGACGGCGGACCACCCGCTGCACTACCTGATTTAGTGAACTCGTTTGAGCGCAGCGACTTGGGCGTTCTCCGGAAGCATCACGGAGTGGGGGCCGCAGGCGTCGAGGTCCCCGCCCAGCGGCAGGACCTCAGCGTCGTGGCCCTTGTTGATACGCGAGAGGGCCCTGCGGACATGATCGAGATTTGGCAAGGTTTGGATAAGGATGGATGAAGACTTGCTCGCGCGGTCGTTCGCCCCAGGCTTCGATCTCGAAAGATGGAGGAGATGTGTTGCCAACCGCTGGATGGTCCTGGCGGACTGGAGCATCGAGCCAGCCCCTTCCTGGACTCCAGCTAGCCTCAGAAGCTCGAAGCCTCCATGGTCGCCCCGAGCGGCTGCCAGGCCGCCAGCGACAAAAGACGAGGACGTCTGTATGAACGTTTCCATGAGGTGAGCTTGCGAGCTGAAATGCAGGTACCTTGGAAGACACTGGGCTGGTGGTGGCTGCTCGTGCCGCTCGTAGTGCCAGGTGGAAAAGACATGCTTCTGTACTGCGGCCGCTTCCCCGTCATAGATCGCCCCACTGCTTCGGCTGGTCCAGGGAGTAAGCGGTCCAGAAAGCGGGGTGCCATGCGGTTGCGCATGCAGCAGGAGGTCCCGTCCGAGTACGGGGAGGGCTTCGAGGAGCTGGTGCCACCCGACTTGCCTGGGGTGAAGACGACGTCTGTCGCTGTACCGGATGAAACTTAACCCGAACATGTAACATGTTTGTTGGCCCCGCAGCCTTGGACACTAAGAATGGCACGTCGCACATGTGAAAGGACATGGTGAACACGTCGAACACAAATGGTGCGTGGTTGTAGGCACTGCAGCTCTGAACATGACAAAGGACAGAAGCTTAATTCGAATTTCGTTCGGCACCGCATGTCCCAACATTGCCTCTTTGTTGCTGGCTTCTTCTTTGTCCTGTTTCTGTCAAGCAACGAAAGCGCGCCGCAATGCGGAATCGTGCTTTGCGTTTGTCGCGAGTGGTGTCTGCGCATCGGGTTGCGTTGGTTCCCTTGGGGCGCCTGCGTGGACCTCTAAGCACGACGAGTGGGAACACTGTGGCACGATGTGATGCGAGACAGAAGAGGGGGAGGAGGGGTACACACAGGCGATAAGAAGGAGCCGCGCCGCTGGCGCGAACGCCTTGTTGCTGCTCGCGCGTGGTTTTCGTTCCCCGTGCGATGGCGTTGAGCTGCAGCTCGCGGCGCTGACAATGTGCAGCTGCAGCTGCTTAGGCAACCGCCAGGGCGAGAGCCACGCCCGATCGAAAACGGGCCAACATTCACACGGGATTGTGCCTCTCCCGCTCGGCGGCGGGCCGCTGAAGTCTTGAAGGGGTTGGGGGTCCTCGCTTCGAGGAGACATCGCCCCGCGTCACTTCCGTCTCCTCCTCCTCCCTTCCTCCCCATCCCCTCCTCCTCGTCCCTCGCCCCGTCCTTGCTTCTGCCCTCCGCGTGTTCTCGTCGTCATCGCCAGCATCACCGTCGCCACGCGGTTCGTGGTCCCATAGGGGACGCCCGCCGAAGGCCGCCGCGGCGACGTTCGAAGGCGCCTCCCCGGCCCCCTTCCGTCACCCCCCCTCCTCGCAGACCACGGCGCTTTTTCACACGGCTCGTGGCCCCACGGGGGGGGGTTCTACATAAGGCCCTTGCCAGCAAGCACCCTGCTTGCCTCCAGGGTGCCTTGGGCTTCTTGGGTTCCGATGGCTCTGCCATGGAAAGCGTGACGTTGCCACGCCAAGAATCGATGGACGTCCTGGGGTCTCAGGGTTGGGTTTCTTGCGGAAGGTTTCTTGTGGACTGGCCTCTATTGTAAGGCCCCCAAAGGCGACGTTCACGTGCGTCTTCCCAGCCATGTTGGCATTTTTTTCGCACGGCTCGTGGCCCCGCACCTGCAGAATCACTTGAGCACCAGACTCGAACGGTACCGCTTGCTTGTCTTCCCTCTTACGTTTCTCCCTTTTCCGTTGCCGTTGGGCCCGGGGGTACGGCCGGTCGCAGCCTACCACGCTCGTGTTAGATTCGCTTTGCGTATAACTTCCTTGCGTTCCACCATACGCAAAAGTGCCCCTATCTATCTTGATCCTTTATTTCTCGTCTCCTCTCCCTCTTCCTCCCCCTCCCCCGTCCTACCTCCTCCCGTCTGACCCCGTCGATGCAGGTGGCGGCGGGTTTCCTCGACTCTGCCCTGCGTGCGGCTGACGCTGCAGACGACGACGACGACGACGACGACGACGACGACGACGACGACGACGACGACGACGACGACGACGACGACGGCCACGACGGCCACGACGACGTTGACGACGACGAGATGGCTCGTCGCAAACGCGGCCGCGCAGTGCCGCCACGCGCCCCTCGCGAGCATCAGCCTCCTCCGCAGCCCGAGCCGTGGCCAACAAGGCCGACGTTGTATCGGCGCGCGCCATGCTTCGTCGCGGCGCACGCCGCTCTTAAAGTCGATGCCCAGGATGGCGCAGACGATAGTTGGCATGCGGACGTGTTCGAGCTCGGGGGACGATTGGCCGAGCTGCGCAGGCGCGCCGAATCACGCAGTCGCCCTGGGGCAGTCGCGGCAAGATGCCTAATGTCGTCGGCGAGCGAGGGGGGGAAGTGAGAAGGAGAAGGCCTTCTCAGAAGGTGGCGGGACTTTTCAGAAGCCCTCGCACCTTCCGAGAAGTTCTATTTGTCTTCGGGGAAGGCTTGGGAGACTTCTCAGAAGGCCGTGGGACTTCCGAGCCTTCTGAAAAGGCCCGCCCCTTCTCACTTCCCCCCCTCGCTCGCCGCCAGTAACGCTCCTGGGCCATAACACGCCATAAGCATAAACCTTTGGCGCTCCGCGCCGATTTCCTGGATCCGCGCTGGGGCCCCTTGGCGGCGACTCCGGCGCCGCCCCCGGAGCGCTCCGCGCGCCAGGGAGGGGGCTCTGGCCCAGGTCCCAGAGATCCGCGCGGACCTCCAAAAGTTTGTGCGTCTGCCGCCTGTGCTTCCTTCGAGGGCGCAAAGCGTAAGCGCGGGGCTGACGGGCCGCGCCGCTGCGGCCCGGGTCCGCGACGCCGGCGCAGGCCCCACCTGCGGCCCCAGTAGCGCTCTCCGCACATCTCAGGGGGGAAAGAAACACACAGACACAATGAATCGTCGATTCCCCCGAAAATGTGAGAAAAACTGGGAATTGGGCGGGAAGACACAAACCCAGAAAATATGGGAAAGTATGGGGAATCCTGTTATTTGTGTGTATCTATTTGTGTGTCCCAGGGCCCCTTCAGCATCCCTCCGTGGCTGCCACTGGGCTGTCGGGTGCCTCCGCCTCGGGGGGGGACGGCCCCGCAGAGGGTGCAGCCGCGGCGGGTGCGGGGCACGCTTTGGTGACGCCCGGGCCGTGCTGTGCCCTTCGCGGTGCGCTCACCCAGGAGGTGGTCTGCCGCGGGTGCGCTGCGGAGCTCCCGCGCCAGGTGCGCTGTCAGCCGGGCACTGGCGCGCTCCTCCGCTCGATGCGTCGGAGCTCCGCGTCCGTTCATCTCGTTCTCTCTCTCTCTCTCTCTCTCTCTCTCTCCGTTCCCTCCTTCTCTCTCGCAGCCTCTGGCCCGCGTGTCTGTCTCCACATCTTTCCTCAGCCCTTGCGGCTAGCCCTTGCGGTCCACATCTCTGCATCACACCTGCCCCCCACCTCTCCCTGCGGTCCACCTCGTTCCATCTCTCTCTCGCTCGGGGCCAAGCCCTGCCAAAAACCTTGATCCTCCGCCCTCGATCTGCCAATGCCCGTCGCTTTCCCTCCCCGCGCGCCCGCCCCGCAACAAAAGGATGCTGGCTGGCGCCCCGGCTGGTCAGCCTGGCGGCGCCTCTGGCCGCCGCCCTTGCGTGGCTGTGAGGGCAGGCTTGACAGGCATTGTAATATTGGGGGGAGGGGGGGGGGGCAGAGGAGGGAGGAGGAGGAGGAGGAGGAAGAGGAGAAGGAGGAGGAGGAGGAGGAGGAGAAGTAGGAGGAGGAGGAGGAGGAGGAGCTGTCTGTCTGGAGAGGAGGGAAGGAGGAGGAGGAGGAGGAGGAGGAGGAGGAGGAGGAGGAGGAGGAGGAGGAGGAGGACTAGTGCAAACCCGAGAGTCATCAACCCTCCCTCCAAGCCCCCTCTTCATAGGCCCCTGCAACGCTTCATTTCCATTGGGGGAACTTCGTCGTTGGAAGACAACCGTTTGAATATCCTGAAGCATGCCAAAACATTGTGCTCGAGATGTCAACGCCACGTATCAACCTGACTGCTGCGTCTTGACGATCCGGAATCGTACCAGAACGCCATCGTTGGGACTTCAACACCGCGAACCAACATACTTGTTGCACCCGCATGCTACAGAAACTGTCCAAAACGCCATTTCTGATACGTTGATCATATGAATCCGTGATACCCTTGCAATATTTAAAAACGAATGTGCGCGGCGCAAAGGCGAGAGCCACATATTGAAAAGGAACCGCCCTCAATTCGTGAAAATCTGGAGAATTAAAAAAATGTGCGCGCAGCAAAGGCGAGAGCCACATTTTGAAAATGACCCGCCCGCCCTCAATCCGTGAAACTTTTGCAAATGTTGAAAGCGAATGTGCGCGGCGCTAAGGCGAGAGCCACATTCTGAAAACGACCCGCTTTCAATCCTCCAAACTTTGAAAGCGAATGTGCGCGGCGCTTAGGCGAGAGCCACATGTTGAAAACGACCCGCCCTCAATCCGTGAAGCTCTTGCAATTTTTCAAAGCGAATGTGCGCGGTGCTTAGGCGAGAGCCACATTTTGAAAACGACCCGCCCTCAATCCGTGAAGCTCTTGCAAATTTTGGCAGCGAATGTGCGCGGCGCTAAGGCGAGAGCCACATGTTGAAAACGACCCGCCCTTCATCAGTGAAACTGTTAGCATTTTTTAAACTTCAGGATCATAACTCCTGAGGAAGTCTCTGGCGAAACGCCCGGTCCGCCCTAACAACTGGCCTCGGGGTGCGACAGGGAGAAGTTATCTATAAGGAAAAGAATGGATAAGGATGAGGAGCAGGAGGAAAAGGAGGGGGAGGAGGGGAAGGAGGAGGAGGAGGAGGAGGAGGAGGAGGAGGAAGAAGAGGCGCAGGAGGAGGAAGACCAAAGGAGGACAACGAATAAGAAAAACAGCAATAAACAAACATAGGAAGAAAAAGAAGAAGGAGAAGCAGAAGAAGAAAAGGAGGAGGAGGAGGAGGAGAAGGAGGAGGTCCTGGGCGCCGACGGGGTCGTCCGGCGGCGGGTTCGGGGGTGTCTGGGGTTGTCGCCGTCGCTGGCCTGGCCCGGTGCTGCCCCCCCACGCATGCCACCCCGCCCCGGCGAGAGCACGTACCGCGCAGCCACCCGCCCCGAGCGGGGCTGCTGGAGGCGATGGCGCCCCCCCGGGTGGCGCTCGTCCAGCTTGGCGCTGGGGGGCCGCCAGGGGACCCCCTCCCCAGGGGGCTGGCGGGCAAGGGCCCCCCGTGGCAGCGTCGGGCGCCACCGGCCACGTCCCCCCGCCATGGGGAGGGGCTGCCGCGGGCTGGGCGCTAGGAGGTCCACTTGTGGGACATGTAAATGCTCGCGCCTGGCGGCCCGGCCGGGCGCGCCGCCCGACCGTGGGCGCGCGTCCAGCGGGCGGAACGATGGAGGGAAGGAGAGAAGGAAGGAAGGAGGGCAGGAAGGAGGAGGAGGACGAGGAGGAGGAGGAGGAGGAAGAGGAGGAGGAGGAGGATGAGGAGGATGACGACGAGGAGGAGGACGAGGAGGGAGGAGGGAAAAGGAAGGGAGGAGGAGGAGGGGGAGGAGGAGGACGAGGAGGGAGGAGGGAAACGGGAGGGAGGGAGGGAGAGAGGGAGGGAGGGAGGGAAGGAGAAGGAGGAGGAGGAGGAGGAGGAGGAGGAGGAGGAGGAGGGGAAGGAGGAGGGGGAGGAGGAGGGAGGAATAGGGGGAGGAACAGGAGGAGCCCTCCCTCCCTCCTACCTGTCTGTCAGACTTCTTAGCCGTCATCTCCTCCCCAGGGGCGGTCAACCACCGCCCCGGGAGAAGCGGCGGCGTGCGAAGGGCGTGCGAAGCACCCTGACGCCATCAAACAACAGGAAACAGGAGGAGGAAGGAAAGGGGGAGGAGGAGCACGGGAAAGAGGGAGGGACCAGGAGAAAGAGCAGGACGAGGAGGAGAAGGAGCAGGCAGCAGAAACATGAGCACGAGAAAAAAAAACAAAAACAGAAGAAGGAGGAGCAGGAAAAAGGAAGGGAAGAGGGCCAGTGCAAACCCTGGACGCACCAACGATGTGGCAACAGGCTCCCCGTCCAGGCCCCCGTTTTACATGTCCCCTCCTTCGTGGCGGGAAATGCCCCATCGGAACACAAACATATTTTATTTTTCAGTCGTGCCACGACACCGTTCCTGGAACTTCAATGCCGCGTGTCAACGTGGCCGCTGCGCCCCGACAGTCAAACATCGCGCCAGTTTGCCATTCCTGGGATTTGTCCGCGAATCAGCGTGACTGTTGCCAGAACACCGTTCCTGGGATGTCAACGTCGCGAATCAACGTGACTGCTGAATCCCAGGAGTCCTGGGCCGTGCCGGAACACTGATGATGACGTTGCTGCTGAGGATGTTGATGCTGATGATGATGGTGATACGGATGCGGATGCGGATGGGGACGAGGATGCGGATGATGATGATGGTGATGGTGGTGGTGGTGGCGGTGGCGATGGTGATGGTGGTGGTGGCGGTGATGATGGCAATGGTTGTGATGATGAGGATGCTGATGGTGGTGTTGGCGATGCTGGTCATGATGGTGATGCGGCAGCTGCGGATGATGATAGTGTTGATGATTAGGATGATGCTGGTGATAGCGACTGCGATGGTAGTGGTGGTGCGGATCAGTATAGTGATGATGGTGGTGATGGTGATGATGATGGTGTTGGGGCTGATGGTGACGATGCTGCTGATGTTGATGATGATGATTGTCGGGGGGCAATGTTATTGGCTTCATCATGTGGATTGGCTTGGGCCGCCAGAAACTTCAGCAACCCCCCAGGGGGATCAGGAGGAGGACTCTGGCAGAGAGGTGATATATATATATATATGTGTGTGTAGGAAGAGAGAGAGGGAAAGAGAGAGAGAGAGAGAGCGAGAGAAAGAGAGAGAGAGAGAGAGACAGAGAGAGAAAGAGCTGGAGAGAAAACTATACACACTTGGAAACATAGATATCGAGAGGGGGAGAGAGAGAGAGATAGAGCGATAAACAAAACAGATAACTATATACATATACAGAGAGAGAGGGAGAGAGGGAGAGAGAGAGAGAGATGGAGAGAGGGAGAGAGGGAGAGAGATATAAAGAGAGAGATGGAGGGAGAGGGAACGACATAGCGAGCGACGGAGAGAGAGAGAGAGAGAGAGAGAGAAAGAGAGAGAGAGAGAGAGAAAAGGAGAAAGCGAGAGAGAGAAGGAGAGAGAACGAAAGGCAGGGAGTGGGACAGGGGGAGGGAGGGAGAAAAGGATGGAAATGGGAGGGAGGAAGGGAGGAGGCGGAAGGCAGGAAACAGGGAGGAGCACGGGGGTGGAGGTGGAGAAGGATGAGGAGGAGGAGGAGGAGGAGGAGGAGGAGGAGGAGGAGGAGGAGGAGGAGGAGGAGGAGTTGGAGGAGGAGGGCAGGGGAAGGGAGGAAGGGGCGACGGGGACCCGGGGGGGAGGGACGGTGGCAGGAGGGTCGCCGCCCCTCCGCTGTGGTAGTGGTCCTGCCGGCGGCGGCGGCCCCGACCTGACGCGTCGGCCCGCGGGCGCAGGCAGAGTCGCAAACACGCGGTGGCGGGCCGCGTTCGTCAGACCGCGGGGCCTCGAAGGCGGCGTTTCCGTTTTTTTTTTGTTTCTCCAGAGACCATCCCCTGATGGGGGAGGCGGGGAGAAGGACAGCCGACTTCCTCGCACGCTGTTTGCCCTTTTGGAGCCCCTGGGGGCATCCGGGTCTTTGGTAGTTTGTGGGGGGCCTCCAGGGACATCTGGGGGCCTCCAGGGGCTGGAAGGCGGTGCTTTCGCAGAGTTGGCGGTCGTTGTCGTCGTCGTCGTCGTTGTCGCCGTCGTTATCGCCGCCTCCGTCGTTTGCCGTCGTCGTCGTCGTCGTCGTCGTCGTCGTCGTCGTCGTCGTCGTCGTCGTCGTCGTCGTCGTCGTCGTCTTCGGCGTTATCGTGATCAACGTTTTTTTGATCGTGGCGTCTTTTGCTTCGTCGTCCTTGTCGTCTTCGTTGTCGCTGTTACCGTCGTCGTTCTCATCGTCGTCGTCGTTTTCACCGTCGGTGTCTTTGTTGTCATCGTCCTCGTCATTGTCGTTGTTGGAGTAGGAGGAACGATCTAGGTTCCTGAGGTTTTTGCCATTTTAGGGGACTTAGGAGGCCGCGGAGGCCTCACATCCTCTATGTCCTCGTTACTCGTCCCCTCTTCGCATTCCTCCCTCTCCCCTTCCTCGACCTCCTTTCACTCGTCCTTCCTCCTCCCCTCTTTCCCTCCACCCCTCTTCCCCTCTCAATGTCCCGACTCCATCAAGCTGGTGGAGAACGGTGACCACAGTCATTCCCCAATCAGGTGATCTTATTCTCCCGCAAACTACCTTCCGATATGCACGATACCCATGTTCTACGAGCTGTTCAGCCGTTTGCTGCACAACAGGCTCTCACCAGTACTCGGCCAACAACAACCCGACGGCCAAGCAGGCTTCTGACCTGGGCGCGGCACGCGCGACCACCTCTTCACCTTCAACATCCTGCGGGAGAGGGCTCCTGAATGGAATTCGACTCTGTCGCAGCCGTAGACTTCAAAAATTAGTCGACACGGAGGATCACGGCAGCTTTTTGGTAGCGTTACGAGATTGAGGC